TTATTATCATCATTAATCTTTTGTAAAGTTGCCTTCATTCCTTCCTATTGATATAATCATTATTATTATTATTACTGTTATTATTTAACTATCCTCAAATTTGCATTCATCCCATTCCGTATCATATCATCATTATGGATTATTTTACTATCCATACTTATATACGTTTTTTTTTTTTTTTTTTTTTAATCTCATTTCGATTGGTGTTAAAAAAAAAAATAAAAAAAAAATTTGAGTGCATATTTGTTAAACATAATTTTATCAAGCGTATTACATTGATAATGCTTGATTGTTGTTACAACATAATGACAATATTCTTACATTCTCATCAAATCATTCAATCAGTCGATTAGTTAATCGGTCAGTCAATCAGTCAGTCCATCAGTCAGTCAGTCAGTCAGTCAATCAGTCAGTCAGTTAGTTAGTTAGTGAGTCAGTGGTTGTATGATGACAATCTTTGCGGGTTGTAGTGCTATAAATTCACCATCTTTTTTTCATCACTATCGACCATTATTTCATTTCAATCTTTCTTTTTCCTTTTTTTTATTTCTCCCTCTCTCTCTCTCTCTCTGTTTTATTCCTTTCCTTTTTCTCTTTCTTGTTATCTTTTCCGCTTCCTTACTCTTTATTTAAAAAAAAAAGTAATAATAACAATAACAACAATTTTAATAAATTTGTTTAATTCTTCCTTGTTATCTTCATTCTCTTCATATTGTACCGTTTAATTATGTTCATTTATTTGACTGACATTTACCGCTTCAATTTAGATGGCACAGTCGGGTAAATTGCGCGCAGAAATCCAATTATCAGATAGAAATGAATGATTCGTTGTGTTGATTGATGATGGCATAGCGACTGATACTGATCAACTGGATCAGCAACTATGACAATTTTTACATTTTTACATTTCACGTTTTATTAACGTATCAAAGACATATATTACATGATCGGAACAGAAAGACGATAACCTAGTTAACGATATAAGTATAATTAATTATCATTAAATAGGAAAAGAATAAATGAGAATCATAATAAAATATATAAGTATTAAATTTTAAAATGAATTAATTTCAGCTAAGAAGTAAGTAGACGAAAAGATAAAATTTTATCAATATACAAAAGTATAAAAGTGAATAGAATAAACTAGAAAGTATGAATTTAATAATTTCAGTAAAAAAAAAATGAGTAAAAAAAAAAAGAAAATTTAATGTTCAAATTTGTTAAGCGTTATTATTATTACTTTTTTTTTTGTTTAATTTAAGAGCTTCAGACATTTCTGTTTATCTTGTTTCGTCAGAAATAGCCAAAGTGTATTTCACACAATTTATCTCTTTTTGCTTACCTAATCTTTTGAAGATTTTTTCAAATACCATTTTAATTCTATTCACTAATTAATTATTTATTTTGAATTACTAACAAAAGTAGTCAAATTCTATAACTAATACCATTAAAGTCTGAAATGATCATCATAAAATATTTACTCATTTAGTCATTCAATTGTTTAATCATCCTCTCCACTTTATCACTATTTTCAATTGCAAATTTGAGCCATTTTTAATTTCCCTTCAATTCTTTAGTAAATAGCTATTATAATACACAATATATGAGCTATAAAAAAAATAAAAAAAAACAAATGGAAAAATGACATTACTTTATTTTGTTAAAAAAAAAAATTGAAATTTGTCATATATTTCAAAAAAATAAAAAAAAATTAATCAATTTACCAACAATGAAAATAATAATAATAATAATGCATAATAATTGCAGCAATATATATTTATTATTTACTAACAAATTTTTTCACCAATAAACTAATTCTCTCTAAAAAAAAAAAAAAATTTTTAACAATATATTTGTACTTTACAGTTGAACAACTTATTTAATCATTTCCAACTTTGAATTCGTTACTTTTTTTTTTTAATGCAATTCAATAATTACACAACATTCAACAATGATCACTTTTCTCTTCTCATCCAACAATCTTACCCAGTTTGTTCATCATCTCTCATTTTTTTTTTTCCAATCATTATTATCAACTAAGAATCAACCATATATATATATCAGGTACAAACGTCAAGAAACCTGTTAGCATGTCGATGAACATCATGTTTTTATCAAACAAATTGCTGTTGCGTTATTTTTCATTTTTTTTTTCTTTTTAAGAAATTTTTCTTTTTTGTTAGACATTATTAATTTCATTTGTTACATTAGTACATTACAGAAACACAAATAGTTTCATTATGTTTCATACATTTTATACAAATAATTTGTTAAATGTATAATTATTAATATTATTCTTTTTTTTTTTATATAGAAAAAAATAAATAAAATAAAAAATTTTTCTTTTAAGACTTTTATTTAACGAACAGATAAATTATATTTGAAATTTAATCAACAATAACTTTTATATAAAATAGTAGAAATAATAATATTGTTGAATCATATCAATCATATGTTTAATAATATTTGCAAATTTATTATTTATTTATTCGTTTATTTTGCTTATTTATGATTTATTTACATTTAATTTGATATTGTAAGTTAAAACGTCGTTTTTTTCTCCATTTTTTTTAAAAAATATTGCTACAAATGTCATATTTTTTTTAATTTCAGATTTATTTCAGGAAAAAAACCCTTTTTATCAGAAAATTAATTTTTATTATCATATATTTGGTTGCCACTGCTGCTACTGCTAACCTTATCAATAGCAATATTTTCACTTTCTATTATCATTTGTTATCAATATTATCTTCAACAACACTATCACTATCACTATCATCATCATTATCTGCTATCATTTTAATTCACTGATAGCATTCAACACCAATATTACTAACAGCAACAGCAACAACAACAACAACAATAACAACAACAACAGCAGTAGCATCGATAACAGCTGGTGACAGCAACAACAATTGGTGACGATTATTTAACTAAATATAAACTGCATAATATCTCCCAAATATTTCTTATCATTTTCTTCGATATTACCTCATTATTACTATTATTATCATCACCATCATTATCATTATCATCAACATCACGATCAACATCATCATCATCACCAAACAGAAACAACAACTTCAGCAAATCGCGGATGGCATTCAATCCGGCGGCAGCAGCTGCATTCAATGCTCAGGTGTGTCAACAACTATATATATATACCTATCATCAATCTAACTATCCAAAACTATCCATTCTGTTCGGCATAAATTCATTTTCCAAAGAAACTCTTCCTTTCTTCCTTTTTTTTTCCTTTTTTTTGTTCGTTCATAAATATCTATATAAATAATGCCGTATTGTATAGAAAAGCTTAGTTTTAGTCAGTTAATCTGTTGTGTTCCTGTTTTTAACTAGTAATAATGAGTAGTTTGTAAGTAGTAAAGGTAAAAGTAATAAGTAGTAAAAATAATAGGTGGTATGTTAATTAATTTATAACAGTAGTAGTGATATAAATAGAAATAGTAATAATTATTTACTCATATTTTTTTTGTCGTCGTTTTTCTATTTTCCTTTTTTCTTTTGGTATTTGTTTTTGTTTTGTATTTAAAACTGATTTAGTTTTTGTAATTAATTTAATTATAAGAAGTTCATAATAAGTTATTCATATTTATAGCAGATTAATTTTCTACTTCAAATATTTCCTTCTATTTTTTTTCATCTATTTCTATTCATTTATTATTTTAATTAGAAAAAAAAGGAAAAAGGAAAAATTTTGAATAAATTTAATAGCTAAAGAAAAGAAACGAATTTTTATCAACCTGAAATGCTAAATATTTTACGAGTAAGTTTTCATTTTTCTTCTTCTTCTGTACATTTTAATTGTATGTTTGCTTTTCAAACAATGAGAAAAGGGAACGATGAAAGATAAGGAAAAAGGTTAAAGGTTAGAAAAAAAGGAAGAAAAAAGAGCTCTAAATTAAGTTATAAATTTTATTTTTATTAAGGAATTTCAAATTAAAATTTATAATATTTAAAAAGAAAATATTTGTGTATATATTTGAATTGTTATTTTCAATTTATTACAGTTGCTGGCTGCCTCACAACCGTCTACACCGGTTAAAACGGAACAACCATCAACATTAGTTGGTAATGTTCCGGTTGCAACCTCAATAAGTAGTAATAATGCTGATGAAATGGGTGGTGGTGGCGGTGATACGACAAGATTTTTGAATGCCAGTGGACCACTGCTGACACCCGGTGGTTTAGCCGGTTTTCCGCATCCAATGGAACATGAAGCTGCATTCAGGGCAGCTATGGCTCAAGGTGCACTTCCTTTTCCTGCCATTTATCCCGGTTTACATCCTGCAGTAAGTTTTTTTTTCTTTGCTAATTACTTGTTTATAAAAACAAAAAAATTAATTTGAATCAAAATTGTAATAAAAATAAAATAACTGATAACATTGTAAAATAATTTCACTTTTCATATTTTCTTCTTTCTTTTTCACTCTCTCTCTCTCTCTCTTCTCTCTCTTTTCTCCATTCTGTTTGTTTGACAAAGAAATTGTAATGTTTCTTTTTAAAAAAGTTTTATAAATACTAGTTTATACAATTTTTAATATCTTTTATGTATATCATTTTGTTTTTCTTTTCATTCTCATTTTATTTATTTACTTTTGAATTCAGAAAAAAAGAAGGCAAAAACAAAATTTCAACAATAGCATAAAATTAAATTGAAAAGAATAAATGATGAATTAAATAATTTAATACAAAGTTTGTCCCAAATTGATTTTTTTCCCTCTCTTTATTTGGAATTTTTCTTTTCTTCTCTTCCTATCTCTTTATTTCGTTTTTTTTTCCTTCTTTTTTTTTTTGCTGTCATTCTTTTCATTTTATTTAATTAATAACTTGTTGGAACAACAATGTTTTGTGTTTCAGTTAACGTCCTCCAAAGTACCGAAGAGAGTTTTTGCAAGTCTTTTAATCATTATGTCTAAAATGTTCGACTAATGATAATGTCATTAACTCTTCCAAATGAATAATGATGATGCACCTCCACCTTAATCACCGTCACTATTACCATTGCTACCATCATCATCATCATTACTATTGCTACCATCATCATCATCATTACTATTGCTACCATCATCATCATCATTACTATTGCTACCATCATCATCATCATTACTATTGCTACCATCATCATCATCATTACTATTGCTACCATCATCATCATCATTACTATTGCTACCATCATCATCATCATTACTATTGCTACCATCATCATCATCATTACTATTGCTACCATCATCATCATCATTACTATTGCTACTATCAACATCACTCATTATCGTGATCATACCACTACCATCACTAATCATTATCACTATCACCATCATACCAATACTATCACTAATCATTACCATCACCACCACCGTCATCATCATTACTATTATCATTACTCCCACCATCATCACTATTACCATTGTTGTAATCATCATTATTGCCATCACTAATCACTATTACTATTCCATATAAGAAATGTGATAAGTGGGCTGATTCTGGTTCATGTTATGGTAGTTCAACTTTTCAAAAACGTCTTTTTTTTTTAATATTATTTATTTTTTTTTTGAATTGTAAATTGCAAATTAAGCTGAAAGTCAATTCCGAAATTTTAATCCAGTGATTTGTTTGCGCTATTAGCATTATAACTAATAAATCAGTACAAAAAAAAATAAATATATTTTTAAATAAGAATAATTGTGACCATATTAGTTACTAACGTGCTCATACGTTTTATAACAATATGTTTGCTGAATAAAATATGAAATTTGAAAATTAAAAAAATTGAATGAATCTAAAAATCAAATTTTTTTTATTTTTTAATTTTGGAAATTTCTTTTTTCAAATTACAAACATTACCTTAAACGGAAATTATTTTTGATGATAGAAAAGTAACAATACGATTCATTTAAACGTTGTTAGTCTTAGCCTGTGATTTATATTAACAAATGAAATGAATATTTAAATATTTAAAATTGTAAAATCATTTTTCAATTTATTAATTTCTAACATGTCAATTGTTAATACAATTATTAGTCGCACTTAATTACTCAGTTATTTATTATCTTTCTGCGTCATTTTGTTGAAACCTCAGGATCTAAAAAAATGTGACGAAAATTTCAAAAGTCACATTTTAATTTGAAAATTAATAATATTTTTCTTCCATTAATAATTAATCTAATTGCTAAAAATAATATAACCAATAATAATGATAATAATAATAATAACATGCAGTGATCAAAATTTTCAGAGAAGAAACTATTCCATTTGCTAACAAAATCAGTTTAATTAATTGCTAATTCATCAAATTAATTTAATTATTTATCAGTTAGAACAATATTGATTGAATTCATAATTAAATCAGAAATCAATTTCGCTCATCATTGAAAAAGAAGAAGCATTAAATAAGTGAAAAAACACGATGATTTGTTGTAATGATAATTTTTCAAAAGAAAATAAAAGAAACAAAAAATCTTTTTTTTCCCTCTCTCTCTCTCTCCTCTTTCTCTGCTTTCATTTTTGTATAACAAATTTTTTCCTCTCCCATTTTTTCTTTTTCTTTTTTTTTTCTCTCTCTCTCTCTCTCTTTCTCTCCCTTTTTATTGAAACATATCAAACATTTCATCCATTCAATTATGTAATTGTTTAGAAATTGAAAATATCATTTTTGTATTAATTATTACCTTCAAAAAAGGGAAAAAAAAATTTAAATTATTCATTTTTGCTTATTTCTTACAAAATCATTTTCTCTCTAACTTTTTTTCCTCTTTCTCTTTCTCTCATTTCCTCTCGGATAATTTACCTCTTAAAAAAAACCTTTTTTTAAAGAAAAAAAAGAGGGAATGAATAAAAAAAGCAATAAAGCTAGCATTTGTAATTAATTTTACATACATATATCAGTAATAAATTGGTAAATAATTATTGAAATTAAAAAAAAAAAATTAAATAATTCATTTAATTTTATTGGTTATTTTCAGGAAATGAAACCAGAAATGATTGGTGCGGTACGGGCAGTTTCCGGTTATTTTTTCGATCCAATGCCGTATCATCCATATGCTAGTGGTTTGGATGGTACGCGGCGTAAAAATGCAACACGTGAAACAACTGCGCCACTTAAATCATGGCTTAATGAACATCGGAAAAATCCATATCCGACAAAAGCGGAAAAAATTATGCTTGCATTACTCACAAAAATGACTTTAACACAGGTTATTTTATTCTTTTTTTTCTTTTAAATTATCAATTTTAAATAAATTTCTCTCAATTCTTTCTTTCTACTTATTTTACAAAATTTTATAAAATAATTAAATGTATATAATTTGTAATGTTATTTAAATAATAAGCAAATTTTTAAAAAATTTATTCAATAATAAGTTTGAATCAAAAAAAAAAAAAAAAAAATTAATATTATTATGAATTTTTCCTGCTTCGTTGCAAATTCATTTTCTTTGCTAAAAAAATTTTATCAAATAAAAAAAATGAGATTTCACTCAAGTATAAATCTTAGAAAATTTCAAAAAATATTTTCAAAAAATTTAAAAGAAATTTGAAATTAAAATGAAAATAAATTTACCATTCATTCATTACAATTCAGATTATACTTTAAGAATTGAAAACATTTTATCTGCAAATTTCACCAACAAAAAATAAAGCAAAATTTTTTGCAAAAAAAAAAATAATAATTAGTTTGATTAATTTGAATAAATGTTTATATTAATTTCATTGGTTATTTTAGTTTCTAATTTTCTTTTCCTTTTGAGAAAATTAATTAGCAAATTTATTAATTGACAATAGGTCAAAGATTATTATCAAAGTATTTTCATATCTATTAGCAACTTTTTCGTCTTTTGCTCATTTAATTTGTTTGTAACAGCAAAAAAATTCATAAAGAGCAAGACAGAGAGAGAGAGAGAGAGAGAGAGAGGGAGGGAAAGAAAAGAGAGAAAGATAGGAGGAAGAAGGTAAGTATGAATTGAAATAGATTGAAATGAAAGAAATAAAAAATTAGAAGCAAAATGAAAGACAGAGAGAGAGAGAGAGAGAGAGAAAAAAAGAGAGAGTGAGCGACATTTTTTTTTATTAAATTGTTTATTAGAAATGATAAACTAATTTTTTCTTTTAAATTTCGTTCAGAAATTTTATTCATTTTAAACAAATTTTTTTTTTTTATTCTTTACTAATTATAAACAATTGATAGAGAGAAAAGTTGAAATTTTAAGAGTTTGGTAAAATTTTCTTTTTTTTCTTACATGAATTATGGATTATATTTCTTCTTTTTATTAATAAAAATTGATAAATAATTTTTTCGTTCCATTAAAAAAAAAATTAGTATGAGAATTTGAAATGATATATCATTTAGTTTCATTTGATAACAATTTAAAATATTTCCATTTTCGTATTAAATGAAATTTTAATAAAAGAAAAACTTGTTTAATGAAAAAAAAAAAAAAACTCTCAGAATATATTAGATTAGATAAAAACAATGGATTAAAATTATTATTATATAATTGTTACAATGCATTTAACTTTTTTTAAAAAAAAAATTTTAATGTTTTTTTTGATTTTATACGAAAACAACATACATTTAAAATCGTTTATTGGCTATATAAATTTAAAAAAAAAAAAATGAAATTGACCTTCAATTTTTTCCTCTTTACTCATTCACTTTCTTATTCTAACTGCTACTTATGCTATTTAATATTAATTATTAATTTCATTAATAAGTAGTAGTACTACTAATACCTTAAATGAGTATTTATTGTAGCAGAAAAGATTAGTGAAACAAATAAACAAACAAAGTAAAAGCAAAACAAAAAGCAAAAAAAAAAAAAGGCAAAGCGGTCACTCTTTGTAATCTATTCGTCTTGATTGGATTACTTCCTGAAGTGATACTACTTAAAAAATCATTTAATCAATCAAAATCAAGTGTTTTCTTTATTCTTAGGTATTAGTAGGATAAATCTTTTAAAGAGAGAAAAATTAGGAGGGAGAGAGAAAGAGAAAGTTAGCAAAAAAAAGAGGAAAGTAATTTTTATTCTTTAACGAATCGTTTTAATTAAATGAGATATAGTTGTAATATTAGTGTTGAAATACTTTAGTAATTAATTTTAAAAAATTTCAATATCTATAATTCTTGAACATAATATAAAGAACAAACTAATTTCCTTATTTTTTTCATCCATCTAATACTTTGACAATTAATTTTTTAAAAATTCCACCGCAATACGCAAAATATTATATGCAACCATACATGAAATTTATATTTTTCTATTAAAAAAAAATCAAATTTTTTTTAAAAAATTTTTCTGTGCCAAATAATTTTTATATTTTAAATATTTTATTCAAAAATACTACTCTTAAATAGTATCTTTCTTTCTTTCTTTTAAACTAATTATGGTTTACTTAAATGTTTTTTTTTATTATTATAAATTTGTTTGTTTGTCTGTTTTTTTTTTATAGATTATATTACAGATTTTTACAGATTATATCAAAGGATAGTTACTTTTAATATTTTATCCAATTTACTCAGAGTTTTTCATTAAGTGTTATTTGATGATTAAAGTGTCATCACTTGTTACCTATTAATGACATTAATTGTAGTTGCGGTATCTTTTTCTTTCTCAATTCTTTTCAATCCATCATAATGTCAAGAAATTTTTGATGGTACCACATAAACACACACACACACACACACACACATACACACACACACACATACACACACACACACATACACACACACACATACACACACACACACACACACACACACACACATACACACACATACACACACACACACACACACATACATACACACACACACACACACACACACACACACACACACACACACACATGCACACACTATCATAATGAATCGGTTGACATCATTATAATTCAATATTACAATGTAATCGATCATTTTGTGGAAATACACTATTTCCATTATTTTTGTTTACTTAATTCCAATTAATATAAATAAAATATTACAAAAAAAGAAAGAAGGAGAAAGAGAGAGCAGGAGAGAGAGCAAAAAAGAAAAAGAAGGAAGAAAAAAAGACATTTAATTATTTGAAAATTTTGAATCATTAATTTAATATATTTGTTAGCATTATATTATCAAATAATATGGTAATATAATGTAATAAATATTTTAAAATAATAATTAAGTGGGAATTGTAAAATAATATAAATTTTTATAAATGCAAAAAAAAAAACAGGAAAAAAGGGAAATGACAAAAGTAATGAGATGAAAATTCCATATACATTGTTAAATTAGCGGTAACATAAAAGGGAATTTAGCAGGTGGAGGAAAGAAAGAAAGAGAGAGAGAGAGAGAGGGAGAGAGTATGAAAGAGAATAGATGAAGTAATTGCATTTTTTTATTTTTTGCAAACAAGAAGAAAGATCATAATTAACCAACTAACCGGAATGGATAAGATGACGAGAAAAGTGTATGATGGGGTCAACAAAAATAATAAATAAAAAAAAAATAAAATAAAATGAAAGAAGGAAAGAATTAGTAGAAAAAGGATATTTGTTATTAATTTGATATGAAATGAATTATCATTTAATTTTCTAACAATTTTCTTCTCTTTTTTTTTCTTATTTATTTCTTTATTGAATAGTGTTACGGTAGCAGAAAATGTTATTTAATAAAATGTACTTTACAAATTTCATTTATAGATAAAATATGAATTTAAACTAGAAAATAATCACATTATTCGATTTAATTATTTATACCATTTTGTTTAAAAAGAATTATCTGATGCAAGAAAGAAGAAAAAAAAAACTAATTCGAATATAATATTTAGTAACAATTAAATATTTAGTAAGAAATAGCAATAATAACAGCAATAATAATGATAATGATAATAATGACAATAGTAATGATAATAATAGCAGCAATGATAATTATACTAATACCAATACATGTAATAATAGTAATAATAAACAAAATAATAATATTTACAAAGTAGTAATCAGTCAGCTTCTCCTTCATAACTATAAAAAAGAATTTATTTTTACTTATTGCTTTTTGAATGATTTTAAATTTTTATTTATAAATGGTTATATATTTTGTTTTCTTCAAAAGTTGTAAATTTTATTCGCTTTTTTTTCTTGCAAATTTTATTAATAAATAATATAATATTCGGTTTTTATTTCCTTTAAAAATGACTCTTTCAATTTACTACTTACTTTCATCTACAAAAAAAAATATTACAAAATTGTTATTATTTTTTTTACACTGTTTTTCCTTTCTAAAATATTACTAATTTTATTAGTATCAATGGTACTATTTGTTACCTTAGCAAGTAGTAATGCTATTTTAAATTTTCATTAATGTTTTTAATTAAATGATAAAATAAAAAACAAATGGTATATTTTAAAATTTAAAATAAAAAAATAATATTATTATTGTTAATATTAGAAATAATTTCTAACATATGTTTTTAATTTTTTTATTTTTTCAACATCAATTAGTAAATGTATTCAATACAGAATGAATACATTTTATTCGTTTTTTTTCACTCTCTCTTTCTTTCTTTCTTTCGTTCTCTTTCTCTCCCTTTCTCTCTCTTTTGATAATGAGATGTATTAAAAAGATTTTATTGCTTTGTACTTCATTTTTTCATTTTTTTTTATTTAAACGATCTCAGTTTTAGTTTTTTTTTTTTTTAAATATGTCTTTGAAAAAAAAAAAAAATGAAAAGACAAATGATACTTTGATATATGTTTAAAGTCTAAAGTGTTAATTATTTGATTCATTTCAGAATAATTTATGCATTCTTTGTTAGATTTTTAATTTTAAAATTTAAATTTACGCTAATTTTTAAACTTTTGGTTTATTATTATTACTACAATACTTAATATCTTCCATTTCTTTTTTATAATTTTATCTTCATTTATTTTCTCATTATAGCTTTATAATAAAAAAAATGATTGATTATTTTTATTAATTTAATATTTAATAATTGTTTTTTTCTGTTTTCGATTATAGTAATATAATATTTGCATATCTTTATTGATAAATTCAAATTATTACACAAAGAAATTTCAGTTATCATTAATACAACTTTTTTCTTTGCTTAAATAAATTGAACTCATGATTAGCTTGAATAAACATACTTAATATTTTTAATCTTTTTTGCACGGTTTTTGTTTTCTTTCTCCGTCTTATCAATCCGGTTTTAATCCGGTTTCAATGTTAATAAAAGATTAACCAAAAAGCTTCATTATAATACTGCTAATGATAATAATTATTAGCATATGTATGGCATATTTAAAAAATTTTTACAGCTTATATATGACAACAATGAAATCATTAATTGCGTCATTCATGAGTAATCGTAATGAATGGAAAATGATTGTATAATGTATGTATGATTCATTTAAAAATGGGAAATGACAGAGGGAAGAAATAATATCCGGTAACAGGATTATCATTTTCCTGATAATATTCCTAAAATTTTATTTCATTATTTTTCCGTTTTTTTTTTTTTACTTAACAGGTTTTCCTCAAAAAAAAGTGCAACAAGTGATAAAAATCAAATTATAACTTTAAATTTTAATCTTTGCTTTATTACAATAAATAATTAAGATAGAAAAATAATTTGAAATAATGGAAAAAAGTTGTTTATAAAATTTTTTATCATTCATATTTTTGTAATTTCTTTTTTGTAATTGTTTTTGTAACCTTACAATCTGAATTAAATCAATTAATAAAAATTGATTTAAACAAATTCAAATTTCTTTTTTTTTTCTTTGATTATAAGATTTGCTAAAAGATATTTTAATTTTATTAATTTTAAATCATTTTAAAAAAATTTTTAAATACTGTGCTAACTTAATTAAAAGCTTCATTTTTTTTTTAAAAAAAATAGAAATTTAGACTATAATATTTTTTTTTTTTGTTTTTATAATTTAAATTTGCAAAAATATTTATTCATTTACAAACTTTAAAAACAAATTGTTTTATTATTGAATAATATGATTGTTAGATAAGCAAACAGATTTTATTCATTATCAAATTTTGATCAAATTTTAATTCTGAGATAAATTTTATACCTTAGCTTATTTCTTAATAAGCTTTTCTCATTTTTAGATAGTTCTGACAGGTGTACATTTCTCATAAAATATGATATGTCATCACTAATAATATTCAATAATAATTCATCTCTAAAATGATCTTTCTTTTGCTTTCTCTCTCTCTCTTTCTTTCTCTCTTTCCTTTTTTACAATTTCTTTTTTTTTATCTATTTTATTCATAATTTACTTTTGTTAATTTCTCTCTCTCTCTCTCTCTCTCTCTTCCTTCCAATTTATTGATGTTTGAATTTTTTAGCAAAATAATAAATCAATGAAATTTAATAAAATTTTCAAATTGATTTCAATTTCACTCAAAAACAAAATGACAACTAAAATTAATCATTTTTGTTAGTGAAATTGGAAAAAAAAACTGAAATGTTTTAAATTGATGAAAGATAAGTTTAAAATATTTTATTTTCGATGATAACAACAACAACAAAAAGAAAAATTATCAATAATTCAGAAATTTCTTTTTTGCACTAATTTAAACTTTCCTTTTGAGTATTTAATTTCAATTAGTTATTATTATTATTATGATTGTTATGAATATTTATCATTATTATTGCTATTGTTATCGTTATCATTAGGAATTCATCCGTTTCAGTTGAATGCTATTATTCTAATGTAAATAAAAAAATATTTATTATATTTGAAAATTTCAAATTTTTACAATTTTTCAACTTGTAAAAATTTAGTTACAATTTAACTATTACACTTATTTTTCTTCGTTTTTTCTGGCTTTTCAAAAGGTTAATGTGTAAAAATTACATCATTTTGTTTTGCTGAGAACAACATTGTCAAATGAAAATGATCAGTGATTTGTCCTTTATCATTTAATCGTATCTAATCAGTTCAAATTTTAACTTTCTAATGTTTTCGTTTAAAAACATTTATTTTTTGATAAGTGCACGATTTTCTATTGATTCATACATTTATATGCATGTAAATTTATTGAAATGAATAGATTTGCACATTCGTTTTTATGACAAATTTTTTTGAATTACAACAAAAAATTTTCAAAAATAATTTTATTATTTTATGATCAATGATCAGCAAAATATTTACATTTGATTGATTGAATAAATGAAAAGAGCGGAATGTAATATTTGAGTAATTGAACAACTAATTGAGTAAATAATGAAAAAATTAAATGAATCAAATAATGCAAGTGAATATGAATGAATAATAATTTGAAAAAAAAATAATAAAAAATTAGATGTATTAATTAATTAGTTAATCAAATTATTAATTAAACAATAATTTTAATAAAAAAAGCAAAAAATATAAATGAAATAAATTATAAATTTAGGTGTCAACATGGTTTGCAAATGCTCGTCGACGATTAAAGAAGGAAAATAAGATGACATGGTCACCACGTAATCGACCAGGTGATGATGACGATGATGATTTAGGTGATATTGATGCATCATCCGAGCAAAATCATTCCGATCGTCCATGTAGCAGTGCATCTGATGGTGATATCTCTGTTGTTATCAATGATACCAGTGAACACGGTAAATTTAAAAAAATGTTAAAGTGATGAAAAATTTCAATTTATTTTAAACACTATTAATTATTAATTATTATTATGCAATAAAAAATAATTAAATAAATAAATAAATAAACATATAATTCAAATATTGTTTGTTGTCATTACTAAATTAAAAGTTTTTAATGCTTAATGAAAAATTTTTCATTCATTTTAAACATTATCAATTATTAATAAATATGTAAAAACATTCAAAAAAAAAGAAAATAATAATAAATATATATTTTAAAACGGATATTACTTTTATTATTATTTAATTAAACGTTTTTTTCTTACGTTTAATGAAAAATTTCTATTCATTATAAATATGTAAAACAAATAAACAAATAAATAAACATCAACAAACATATATTTTAAATTAGACATTTTATTATTAGTAGTGTTAGTATTAATATATATTATTCTTCATTATATCTACAAATATATTTTTATATTAGATATTTATTATTATAACTATTGGTATTATTATTTATTATTACATCAACAGAATGTATTTTTTCAAATTAAATAATTTTTATTACTATCACAATTATTAATTATTATTACTATATTAAATATTTATTACATTTAATTTTTAAAAAGTATGTTTTTTTTCAGATGCATCCGGTGATATACAATCAAAATCAATCACACCACCATTACAATCATCATGTTCTGAAGCAAATATTAATTTACCACGATTATCATCATCATCGTCAACAACAACAACAATAACACCAACAACAACAACAACAACTACTACTACAGTAACAACACCAAGGAAAACAAAAATTTGGTCTATTGCAGAAACATTATCAAGTAATACAGGTGAAGCAAATAGTAGTAATAATTGTTGTATCGGATATGGTAGTAATAAAGATGATTATGAACGTGCATCAACATCAGTTGAAAGAAAATCATGGAATGATGATCAAGAATCGATGATACAATCTGATATCGCTTCAACAATGATTAATATTAATCAAACAATACCATCATCATCATCATCAACAACATTATCATCATCAATATCACAATCATTACCATTAACATCATCATTGTTACCTCCAAATGCTTCTACTATTACTGCTATTAATGGTCAAATACCGCATCATTTTTTACAATTTCATCCATGGCAACAACAACAACAGCAACATCAACATCATCAACATCATCATCATCAACAACATCATCATCATCAGCAACAACAACAACAATTAGCTATGGCAATGGCTATTCGTATGCCATTTCCTAGGCCAGAATTATTAACAATGATGGCACAAGCAAGCCATATTCGATCACCAATGTTATTTAATCCAATGTTTATGGGTGCAATAATGCCTGGAATATCAACAACAAATCATCCAATACATTCAACTCATTTGTCAACAACACAATCTAATAATACATTGTTAACAAATGGTTAGCTTTTTCTCTTCATTTTTCTTTTTTATATTCTTTTCCAACAAAGAAAATTTTTGTGGAAAAATTAATTTTAACAAAATTTATTTGCAACAAAATAATTTTGATAATTTTCTTTTTTAAATTTACGAAAAAACAGCACCTTATTGTAAGAGTAAATTTTTTTTCTTTAACATTAATTTTCACTGTATTATTTTTTTCGAATATGATTTTTTTAATATTTTTTTAAAATATAATATTTATCATTAGTAATGATATCTAACAATGTTATAAATTTTGTTATCTAAAATTTACACTAAATATTTGAATATAACAGTTTTAAGAGTGGCATTAATTGCTTATTAGTATTATTAAGGATAGAAATTAAATCTCATTAACTTTTTTCTGCAAATCTTATAAAAGTAGACTGAAATAATTTAAGTTTTATATTATCTGTGTTTCGTTTGGATAATTTTGGGAAAATTTTATCAATGTATAATTTTATAAGATTTTAAATCAGTTTATAGCATCAAATTGGTACTACATATGAATGATTATTAAAATTACAGTAAATTAGAAGTGATTAAAGTATAAAAAATAATTACAAATACATTACAAACAGTATAAGTATTAATTATTAGAAGTACAGGAAAATATGAGTGTTATTTAATTAATTGATAATTTAAATTTTTTTTCAACAATTTGTATAATTAAATAACTATTCTCTTTGTTCTCTTAGCAATAATTATTACATTAAAAATTTTAGTGAGCAAAAAATTAAATATTTTTCTTTATTTTTTCTTTTTGTTTCTTATCATAACTGTACTTGAAATATGATATTTATGCAAGAAAATGAGAAGAAAAAAATTTCTTTTTTTGAGAAAAACATTGATAACAAAAAAAAAAAAAAAAAATATTATATATAAGTGAAAGATTTTTGTTACATAATAATTTGCATTGATATTAAATCGCTAATGTCAACAAAATTTCACATATTTAGCATCCTCGCACCACGGTACAGCCTATCACTGTTAATATAGCAATATGTTTAAATTAACTGATAAAAAGGAAAAAAAAAATGATGAAAAGATAGAAAGGAAGTACAAGGAAGTTTTTTTATCATAATTACTGTTTTTTTTTTTAAAAAAGTTTTTCCTTCTTTTGTTTTCAAAAGCCAAAAAAAAAAAGAAAAAGCATATTGAATGACAAATAGGGAACAATAAATGAAATAATTCAAATGAGGGATTTAAAAAAGATAAAAAAGAGAGAAAAAATCAAATTAATATTAATAGTTTTGTGCATTTCAAAAATTTTCCTTAAATCTAAAAAAAAAGGAGAAAAAACAATTAGTAATAATGGTTAAAATAGATTATAATTAATACAAAAGCATAAAAAAGATTTTTGTTTATATAATTATTAATTTTAAATATAATTTTTAATTTTATTTAACTGTAATAAACAAGAAGTAAAAATGAAGAAAAAATACGATAAAAGTCAAAGACGAATTTAAAAAAGATGAAAGAAATTAATTTTAATTAATTTTAAATTTACTTTATTGTTATCGTTGTAATTAGGTTATCAATGTTATCAATGAATTTTTTTTTATTCCTTTTCTCCATTCACTTATTTTTTTTTGTTGGTTTCTTTCCTAAAAAAATGAAATTTTAAAATTTACAATAAATTTTGAGAATGTTATTACATTATAATATAAAATCAAAAATATGTATTAGTATCCTTTATTGTTATCACTATAATTGGGTTATCAATGTTAACAGATGAATGAGTAAATGATGTGATAATTAAATGATAAAGAGAATGTGTATGTATGTATGTGTCTGTGCATGTATGTTGTATGTGTGTACATACATATAAGGTTATTAATAATTTCAATTAATTCAGGTCAAACGTTTCTATTTCCTCGTTTAATAATCAAATGAATCAAATGTAAACAAAATTGTAAATATAGTGCATAACAGAACATATAATGTTATACAACTATGATATTACTGATGATAACAATGATGAACTAATTCATTATCAATCTTATCAATCTGTATTACTACTACACTTCTGTTATCAACGATTATCATTACAATTATCATTATTATTACGATACCAGTGTAATAAATATATCATCTTCATATTGCTCTCATTTCTCTCCATGACATTTCTATCATTTATTATTTAAATAATTAATACAAGTGGAAAAGAAAGGGACAGAGAAAGAGAAAGAGAAAAAGAGGAGAAAAAAGAAACTATAATTTATATTTCATGATATTTTATAAAGAGGAGCTTGTTATTTCTTCTTTTTTTCATCATAAAAAGTTATCTGTTTAGGTGAGTTAGACATATATCCATTGATTGGACTTTTTTTTTTAGTATTAATCTAATTAATTAATAATTTTCAACTTAAATGTTAATAATGATAAAATTATTAGAAAGAATTTCTAAAATTGAGACAATGTACATGTGAGATACACAAGAATTAGACATTTTTCCATTCATTTAGATCTTTTGTTTTTACATTAATTTATTTAAGTAATAATTTTAAAATATTAATAATAATAAAATTATCAGAACGAATTTTTATAAAATGAAAAATATTATTTCATATTTTTATCTTTCTTTTCATTCCATTTGTGTATTAGTTTTGTCGGGGTTGAATGATGATGATGATGATGATGATGATGATGATGACAATGATGATGATGATGATGATGATGATGATTTGAAGAATGACAGATTATTATTACATCTATATTATTATCTCTCTCTCCCTTTTTCTTTCCCTCTCTCTCTCTCTCTCCCTCTTTGTTATTAATCAGATTTGATTAGTGAGATTTTTCGGAGTAAAAAAGAGAAAGACAAGAGGAGAAGTGGTTTCGGTTGATTTACCTCTTGATTAGGTCACAAATTATTTCTGTCCTTGAAAGCATAATCATGATAGCATGTGTCACCATACTTTCTGTATGTCTTTTTATCACTTTGTCATACACACATGCACACATACACACATACACACATACATACATACACTATTATTTATTACTTCAATAAGAATATTATGCATTATTTCATTTTAAATGCTATTTAGAATTATGAAAATGATGGTAATTAATGCCAAATGAAAAGAATGTCAAACATTTTAGTAATGATATAATGAATGATAACAGAATTGATAATAGTGATAATGATGGAGTAATTAAAGAGAGAGAAATGATATTATCCAATAAAAATAATTGACAAAAATAACAATAATAACAGTGGTAGTAATAATAATAATAATAATAATAATAATAATAATAATAATAATAATAATAATAATAATTAATAATAATAAATTTTGATTTCATCTAGTTTGACTACAATAAAAGTACGTAGATATTTGATAAATTTTTTGTTTACTTTGATAAAGTGATAAATGAAAAGGATGTAAATCCAATGGATTGAAATTGAAATATTTGAAATAATATTGTCATAATAAAATTCCTTCTCATTTTATTTTTCCATTTTTATCCATTTCATCCTTTTTCTTTCTTTCTTTCTCTTTATCATGTCAGCACTGATAAATATTAATTAATATTATTATCTATATCATTAGTCACCTTGCAAATAAAGCAGATATTATACTTCTCATAGCAAAACTGCTATTAATTAAATTGGAAATGACTTTTTGAAATAATATTTTAAATTTAAATTTGCTTTTTCTTTATCTGTTATCTACAGTTATTATTAATTTCTAAATTACATGTAGTTACTAGAACTGCAAAATTAAAAAATTTTTTAGTTTGAAAAACATTAAACTGGCCGAAGCATTAGTAAGTGATAAATTTCACAATAATTTTTGTTGACAAAATTAAAAAAATTTGATATTAGAAATATTTACTAACAAAAATTTTGGTACTATTTGGTATTATATTATTGTTAGGGAAGAAATTTGTATTTTATATTTCAAAAGAAGATATTTTATATTTTATTATTATTTCTTCCATAGCTTATTAATGATTTGTTGTTAATAGCATAACTTTGTTTTGCTTTGTTTTTCATTGTTTCAACTTCTTTTATTTGACAAATAACAAATAATACATTAAAGGCTTAAAAGGAAAACTATCAAAGAGTATGAAAAGAAATTAGTTAACAATCAAACTAATTAATTAAATATCAAAAATGAGTAAATGATAAAATAATACATAACTCCGTTGTATAATACGATAACAACAACAATTAAATATCAGTAATAAAATTTAAAAGAAAAATGAAGTGATAAGCTAAATTCAAAAGTTGATTAACTTATAATTAGGTGTGAAAAAAGAATAACATATTAAAAAAAGCAAAAAAAAGAAAGGAAAATACTTTTTATGTTATTTAATTAGTTGATTTTATATTTTGTTTTAATTAAATAAATAAAGTTTTTTTTTTTTTAAATTGGAAGAAAAAATTTAATTATGACTTAAATTTTTTTTAGGACCTATATCACAATGGCGAACACCAAAATCTGCAGCAACAAGTCCTATTACACCTGTGGTAATTTCACCATCAGCGATAACACCAACAACAACAACAACAGGTGCAACAATAACAGCTAACGAAAGGGTGATAGCGATTACAACAAACAATAACAACAATAACAATAGCAATAACAACAACAACAACAATAATAATAATAATAATAACAATCATAGCAGTATTGATTGTGATGATGGAAATTCGCCAAATGATAGTAAAAGGAGTAAAAGTAGCGATAAATCCTGGGAAAATTCATTGTATTAATTATTATTTTTATTATTTATATATTGTATATATTAATATGTATTATTATTTCTATTTTCATTTCTTTCAAAAAATGAAAAAAAAAGTTTTATTTTTTAATTCAAAAATTTTTCTTTGAAAATTTTTACGGAAAAAAAAATTAAATTTTGAAATTTGGAAAAAAAAAAGATTTTGGGAAATAAATTCTAGAATTGAATAAAAGAAATTATTAAAGCAAATGATTATATTTTCAACAACAAAAAAGAGATTTTAAATT